ATTCTCATTATAGCAGAACATCCTTACAATACTATATTAGGAAACCAAAGAACACACCTACTAATTATAATGAAAACCTAAGCAATATGCACAGGGGATATGAGTTTACCTGCATCAGCACCAGGTATATAAGTAAGGAGTTCTGTATAGGATCATTTTAGCATATGTCCTTTTCCTGTATTAAAACTTTATCATACACGTTTTCCATTTAAAATGATCAAGAATTATTAAAGTGTAGTAACTGTTTCATGAGTCTCCTTTTCTTCTTTTTGAGCAAACACAGTAATATTGACTATGACTGCCATCAATAACATACCGCAACTTGATCCATCCAATAATGTATGTGTCACTAACAGCCAACTTTGATAAAATAACATCAAGCAAAAGGACTTCTTGCCCCATGAAATATATCCTTACCCTTGAGCTGAAGAATTGCTTCTGATGATCTTGACACTGTTTGATTAATGAAACATTATACAAGGCCACTGTTCTTATAGAATAGTCTACATTGCCCGTATAGATAAGAATTGATTCGATGAGACTGAGTGTAGATACAAAGATTATAGTAATTATTTTGTAATCTATATATAATTGTTATAAATCTAGAGTGTCAAAATAGGCTACTGGGGTTGGAAATATTAGGGCATCTATACATAAAATCAATGCACCTTTCTAATGGAGCATTCATTTTCCAGGTCACCATCCCTGCTCACACCCGTGTACTGGTTCATACATTTCAAAGACCTAGCAAGTTATTTTATCTTCCCAAAAATTATATGAGCTTCCTAAGCCAGTACGATTGCCCCATTTTTCAAATGATGAGTCAGAGAAGTGCCTTACCTAGAATTTGAATATCTTCTTTCCAATCCATTCCCCTGACCTTACATCACACTACTTGTAAAGGCCCATATCTATAAAATGGTAAACTTTGTTTTTTGTTGGGAAACAAAACTATCATCATAGTTTTTATTCCATGTAGTGTTCCTAAAGTAAAAATGGCTTACTTCTGCATCAGAAACTGGCTCTAAAAGCACACACACACATGCATGGAACCTAAGATTTTACTAATAGTTAAGCAGCCTAAACAAGTATACAGGCGTAAATCAGTACAAGAGCTTCCTACACAATACCATGTAATTCTGGGCTTCTATATCGCTATTCCACTGAAAGTAGATTTTCATAGTAATCTCCCTAGCAAATTTAAATTGGATTTCAGTACTTGAGCCTTGGTGTCTAAAAATGATAAAAGTACCATTTTTGAGATTAGAAGCAAAAGAGGTCAGCCTCCTGTATTTCTCTACTCCTGACATGAGCCTGGCTTCTGGTTTCCCTGTTTTAGGCTTAGCTCTAGCAAAGCACAAGTCATGCCTGCCTAGGAAAGCTTTTGTGCATATCACAACAGTATTAGTCACTGCTGACACGCCATCACTCTCGCTCTTCCCAGTATTTTTTTCCCTCTTTTGCTGATGCCAATATGAAAAATAGTGCTGGCACAGCCTTAAAGTCACTCAAAATCCTCTTTTATTTATATTGCCGACTTATTCTTAAAATTTTATTTTGCAAAGAAGATTTAATGATATATGGAGGAGCAATTTATTTAAGAGTTTCAGCTTATAGGCTTTTTAAATTGAGTCTATTGAGGTATTCTACAAACTAAATAAAGACAGCTACTAAAACACAATCAACGGTCAGAAATATGTGTAATCTTTATAATTGAACATAATAGGCATCATAAGAAGACCTGTTCCTCCTCCCCATTGCCTAATTAATTGTGGTGGAGTTTAATCTTCCATTTCTTAGTTTGATAGGGTGACCCTTCTGTGTCACTGGACTTGTGTCATCATTAATTGCCATTTCTTAATTACAAAATTTAGATTTACAAAAAATAAAATCTTATATTTTACCACCCCATGATTTTTATACTTCCAGTGCATACTCTATAGTCTATTAAGAAACAAAGTCTGAACCCAGCCAGAATGGCTCAGTAGTTGGGCATCAACCTATGAAACAGGAGGTCACAGTCCAATTCCCAGTTATGTCACATGACCATGTTGCTGGCTCAATCCCCAGTGTGGGCCATGCAGGAGGCAGCTGATCAATGATTCTCACTCATCATTGATTCTCTATCTCTCTCCCTCTCCCTTCTTTTATGAACTCAATAAAAATATATATCTTTAAAAAAAGAACAAAGTTTTCAATACTGCTTACAAAAATGTTCTCCAGAAGGCCTACATATATAACTTAACTGATAAAAATGATAAAGGAGCTCTAGCCAGTTTGGCTTAGTGGATAGAGCGTTGACTTGCAGACAGGAGGGTCCCAGGTTCGATTCTGGTCAAGGGCACATGCCCTGGTTGAGGGCTCAATCCCCAATAGGGGACGTGCAGGAGGCAGCCAATCAATGATTCTCTCTCATTATTGATGTTTCTATCTCTCTCTGCCTCTCCCTTCCTCTCTTAAATCAATAAAAAAATATGAAGGAATATTAAAAAATTATTCAAAGAAAAAATCCAGTCTAAGGACATAGGAACTTAAGATATATTGCTATGATGAAACCAATAAAAACTGTCAGTTTTTATGCCATGTATAATTCTTCTGATGACTTTTTAATCCAAGGGGTATTTTTCATAATGATTAATAGGAAGGATTTTATCATAGGTAGCTGTATGGGCAGGGGAGGGGAGGAGCTTACCTATACGCATAACATGTCATTTGTAATAAGTACATGTTTTAATATTAAAGCACAATGAAATTATAACTCAGTAATAATCCACAGCATAATGAAAATTAAATTTTAAAGAAAGTTGGCAGAAAGTCATCTAAAACCAAAAGATACTTTTGGAAATGTTTAAATATCTTTATACATTAAGTTTCAATTTTACATTTGTGAAAGGATACTTAAATAATTCATATTACATAGTATTGGTGATTTTTCTTTGAAGTTCTTTAGAGGCATTTTAAATTAATTTAAAACCATGATACAAGAGTTCAATTAAGATTTTTAAAACTATATCACATATACATACATACCTAGATACATAAAGCTCAGTAAAATTATCTCATAGTTTGTACAAATAAACCATGTTGCCTTTATAAAATATGGAGAAAACTGCATGAAGTTAATTAAAACATATCATTATTGTATATACCATTGTACCATTTTTTTTTCTGTGAGATATGTCAGATCACATACTTTACTCAGCAGACCTGGTTGAATTTATGGTAGAGAAGTTATATCATGACTTACAGACATCTTCATATTTCGCCTTGATTTACATATTCTTCAAATCATGCTTGTAATCATGACAGATAATTAGAAAGTCACTTATTATAAATAATTTACACATCAAAAAGAGTGATCCTATATAATAAAAGGGTAATATGGAAATAGACTGAATGGCAGAACAACCGAACAACCAATCAAAGTTTAATATGCTAATGATATGCTAAGGCTGCTCAACCGCTCACTATGACATGCACTGACCACCAGAGGACAGACAGTCAACTTTTGACCAGTCGCTATGACATGCACTGACCACCAGGGGGCAGGTGCTCCAACTGGTAGGTTAGCTTGCTGCTGGGGTCGGCCAATGGGGACTGAGCGAGATGGGCCAGACATGCCCTGGAGCCCTCCCATGGTCCCTCCCCAGCCCAATCGTGCATCAGTGGGGTCCCTCAGCCTGGCTTGCACCCTCTTGCAATCCAGGACCCCTCGGGGGATGTCAGAGAGCGGTTTCAGCCCAATCCCACAGGCCACTCCCCTCGGGAGGTCTCCAGAAGCAGTGCTCATGGCTGGTGAGCACTGCTACGGCAGCACAAGCTCTCCAGATTGGCACTATTTGGGCACGAGCCTGTGGCAGGCACAGTGGGGCTGGGGTGAGGGGGAGCGGCAGGTAGGAGCTGCAGGCTGTGTTGGGCTACGGTGAGTTTTGGCACAATCCCTGCAGGCCACCCAGAGGGTGCACCAGGCCTCTAGTATAAAATAAATTTTTTGCACCAGGCCTCTAGTATAAAATAAATACACAGGGATGGACAAAAGTAGGATTGCAGTTGTTCATATGGAAAAATATATAATACAAGAGTAAATAATAATACAACAGTAAACTCTGTGTTTCACCTACTCACAACTGCAGACCAACTTTTTCCCACCCCTGTATATTATCACCTATGCTGTTTCATAGGTAAAATATGACCTTCTGCAACTTTTACAAACACTCACAAAATTTGAGTTCCAAAACAACATATACTCTCGGTTCCATTTAAAAATAACATAGTCACTAATGATTAATGGAAGCTTACAGAAAATGAATAGTTTACATTGAAAGATATATAAAAATCACACCTTCTCTCCACTTTTTTTCCCCCTAGAGTGCTCACTGCTTAAGGGACAATGAATCCCACTTCAGGTTCACAATATGCAGGTATGTTCCTAGAGTGGGGTGTAATGTGCACAACTTTTCATAAACTTAATCACCTTTTATTAATTCATTTATTCCTAAAGTACATCTACAACAGTAATACATCAACAACTTTAGCTTATTTCTGTGTTTCATCACATTGAAAACATATTAAGTCCTCATTTTTCTATATATTGAAACGTTTTATACACTTAAAATATTACTTATTAATTACTGTGACATTGTTGGTTTAAAGGATAGTTTGTCTTTGTCATAAAATACTGCAATAAACCTAAACATTTATATTTAGAAAAGTTGCAGCATTTTGAAATCAACATATAATCAACCAAATTCTGTGTAGTTCGAATAATGAAGAGATAACTCTTTGGGAATACTATTTTAATGTAAAAAATTACAAATTTAAAATTACAAAATAAAAATTTGAAATTTTGGTTATTATTGGGCATCTTGATTGGACATCTAATTTCTTCCATGCATCAGTAAGTAATTTAAGTTACCTTTAATGATTTAAGAAAAAAAAAAGCCCAGTATAGCAGCGATCTTTCACTGGGAGTTGTAAACAATTAAAGAAAAGTAACTTACCATGTTCCAGCCAGGGTAGAGGTAGTCTGTACCAACAAATTCAAAGTAGTGAGCAAAACCTTCCTTCAGCCACACATCTTCCCACCACACAGGAGTCACGAGGTCACCAAACCACTGCATTGGCAAAATGAATGGGTATCAGATAAAATCAAATCTATTCTTAAAATGAAATGTATTCAACTATGATTATCATAACTGGAATTCATTCTTCAATTGATTTGGGGATCTTAAAATGTGTTGTGGTAAGACTATTGATTTATTTGACTACTTGGATAACACTAGTTGTTTTTTTATATAAATGCATTCAGAGAAGAACAAAAATAAAATACTCAAAGAACACACACACACACAAATTTAAACTTTAAGAAAGGACTCAGGAGGGAAAAACTGGTCACAGTTGTCTTCAAATATTTGAAGACCTAGAATGTAGAAGAGGGAAAGTCTTGTGTCTTATGGTCCTACAAGGAACAAACCAAGACTAATGGATGAAAATTAGGATTGACAGATGCAGGAGACCCTCCAACAGACTGAGATGGCCAAGGATGGCAAATACTTCCTTGAGAGGCAGTGAGCGACATCACAGAAGTACTGAAGCATCGCCTTCCAGAGGCAGAAGCAATTCAGAGAAAATAGCAGCTGACTGAAGGGGCAAAGGGCTTTTAAGATGCCCTCACCTGACTCTCTCCAAGGTTCTATAATGAGGGGTTGGGCCAAATAAATAGCTAAGATCCTTTCAAAAAAAAAAAAAAAGGCTAATCATGAGCTAATCTGAAGCCATTGTTTAAGTTCAGCAAAAGTTTAAAAGAATTCTTTTTCATTAAAGAAAAAATACATTATATTCCAGGAGCCATCCTAAAGACGAGATTCAGTGATGAATTTGATCATGCAGCTGACACTTTATTGTGGTGGCAGGGGGAACGAGACAATAAAAAGTAAGTAAGCAAATGACCAACATAATCTCAAATCCTAATAAAGTGTGATAGGAATGGGGGAGGCATTGTCTTAGATTGTAAAAGCAAGAACTTTCTAAGCAGGTGACATTTCAGCTCAGACTTTAATGATAGGAAGGAGACAGCTATGAGAAAGCCTTGGGCAATAGGACGCTATACATATCTAAGCAACCCTGAATGTGAACACTCTAAGTGGGAATGAGTTATTTAAGAAATAGGAGGAAATGGTGGACAAGTATCAAATCATGTACAGACAGCTTCAGGAGCTATGGTAAAGGGCTTGGTGACTGAGCATTTCAATATTAAAACTAATGAACAAAATAAACTGGCAAACAATATAGAATCAGAGACATGGATGCATGGAACAGACTGACGGCTGGCAAAGAGGAGGGATGTGGGAGGGGGACTGGATGAAAGGTGAAGAGATTAGCCAAAGAACATAGGCACAGCCCATAGACACAGACAATGGGTGGTGATGGCAGGAGGGAGGAGGGGCGGGGGCTGGATGGAGGTGGGAAAAGGAGGGCAGGAGTTGGGGGGGGGGATGGGGATATCTGTAATAGTGTCAAAAATAAAATTTAGCCGAAACCGGTTTGGCTCAGTGGATAGAGCATCGGCCTGCGGACTGAAAGGCCTGCGGATTCCGGTCAAGGGCATGTACCTGGGTTGCGGGCACATCCCCAGTAGGGGGTGTGCAGGAGGCAGCTGATCGATGTTTCTCTCTCATCGATGTTTCTAACTCTCTATCTCTCTCCCTTCCTCTCTGTAAAAAATCAATAAAATATATTTAAAAAAAAAAAAACACTAAAAAAAATAAAATAAAATAAAAATTTAAAAATAAATAATATTAATTGACAAAAAATAAAGTATCACGCAAGATCTCTAAACTTAAATACAAATAAGAGGAAACTCTGAATATGTTGATTACCACAGCATAATGGCATTGAAAATATTTGTATCCATGATCAAAATGCATGTTTCTGCTTTAAATTGAAAGCCTGCCTTACGACTGTGACAATGTGTCACAGAGGAGTTCTAAGCAGAGGAGGCATGTGATCTGTATTAATCTGAGGAATAGTAGGTACAAGAGCAAGACAGAAAGTGGGGGAAATGGTTAGAACAAGGACTTCAGAGGGGCTGGAGGTTTTTTAATAGAGAGGATAGTTCCTTGGAAACAGCAAGAAAGGATAAAGGCAAAAGAGTATTTCCTTCCTCCATCCAGGCCCTCAGATACACAAAAAGTGAGGGAGAAGTCTCAGGCCAGTCAGGTCCACCTCATAGGCTGGAGGGAAGGAAACATTCAGAAAATAAGATGAAGCTACAGGGAGTTTGCTTCAGCAGCAGTGGAGGCAAATCATAGTAATAACAGTTGTTTATGGAGCATGTGCTACGCGACTACCAGTATTCTAAGCGCTTTTCTTGGGAAAACTTCTTGAGTCCTCTCAATAATCCTAAAGTGGAAATACTATTACCGGCCCATTTCACACAGGAAACGGAGGCACAGAAGAGTTAAGAAACTGGCAGCTCCTAAGTGCCATGGCTGAGATGACAGATTCTTCGATTGCGAAGTCGGAGTGGCAGGGTCTGGGGGTTGTCAGGGAGGGCTGGAGAGCGACCTCACTAGGGGAGGGGCAGACTGGTCTGAAGAAGAGACCCTGGTGACAAAGGTGAACTGCGAGGCTGTGATGAAGGTTAACAAGTTTGTTCCATGATGCCCTTTGCCCTGACTGACATCAGAAGAAGGTTTTGAATGAGCGCCAACTGGACCTGGAAGCTTGGCACCTCTGAGCGAAGCTCTTCCCTCAGCTCCCTGTGGAAGGAGAGGAGCCACAGGCGAGCCCGCCCGCTCCCTGGGCACCTTTCACAGGCAGCCTGTGTGGGCAGAGCAGATTAATAGCTGCAGGCAGGCCCTGCACATCTGCCCTGCGTGGGGAGAATGCTCATATTTATGTGTTTCTGTGATGTTTTGCTGTGACTCGTTTGGAGATAATAATCACTTACTAGGATTTCTTAAGCACTTACTACCCATCAGGTTCTGTGCTGAGTACTTGACATATATTATTCCTTCAATAAACACTAATCTTATAATATAAAAGAAAAACAATTACAAGAAATGGTGGGAAGAGAGGGTAATGTAGAAAATAATTTGGTAATGATAGTGAAAATTGTTATATATTTCTCCCAGCAACTGGTACATTCCTTCCTACTAAGTAACCTGGCACTAACTACCAAGCTATAACAAGAAAATAACTCAGAATAAAGAACAAATTAAATCAGTCCTAGGAACAATGATGACATTACCAATGTGCCCTTATTTTGACAGAACTGTACTAGTAACTTGTGTCTTGAAATGTCCAAAAAGAAAACTGCTTCTGTTTCAAAAAAGTGTATTTTGAGCTGGAAACCCTTCTCATTAGTGCAGGAGAGGAGGCCTGGTTATCTCTGCCACGGATTCCTTTCAGTCTCTGAGGCAAGGAACACATGTCCAACCTGGCCAGCGTGACAGGTACAGACGTCCTACAGGCTCACTGCAAAAGGCTGACATTTAGGTAAGTGGTCATGTGGCCTGGACCCATTTATCATTAAGTCAGTATCCATGTACTAGCATTTAGCAGTTCACCTTCTTTAACTGACAGCATTTTTCATATCACTCTTTCTTAAGCTTGGCTAGCTTTTTAAAAAGGGTTTGGGGTTTCTAAAAAGCTGAAGTCATAGGTATGACATTTCTGGTGTTTTCACTTAAGAATTATTCGTCGTTACTGGTAACCAGGACCGGTATTGCTTTCTATGAGCGTGAATGTTTATTTTCAGGGTTTTTTACCCTCTCACTAGAATCAAGATTTAAATAAGCATTGCAAAACCTCTGTAATACTTCCCACTCATTGTAAGAAAGAGGATAAAATCAAAATGAAATTAATTTTATCTTAGCTTCACTACAAAGTTGGCTAATTTCCATATGAATTTCCACACATGCCCGGACAAAAAAATCTCAATCATTGGAGAACAAAGAGTCTCTGGTGGAGTTAGTGAGAGACTTCCAAAGTGTCTGTGTGATGGGAAAAGGGGAGTAACAAATTGATTTCAGCAAAAGCAAATTTTGACACGTACACAAAACTCAGCCGCATCTTGCAGCAATGCAATAAATCATCGCCCTCACTGCACTTACCATATATGCACACCAATAATCACAAGAAAAAAAGCGAGGTTGACAAGGAGTAGTGACTGGTTTGGGTCTCAAAAGAGGCAGTGCCGTACCACGCTGCCACCAAGCTGAACGACAGTTGCTTATTCACTGTGATCAGTGTGTTTGCTTTTGTTTATGCTGTCACCTGAGAAAAGCGACATATCTTCTAGAAGGAACTGCACCGTGCTCTCTCTATAATTAAAGCTTAATTGGGAGGATAACATCTTAGGTCCTAATCGAAGTATCTGAAATCATTCTATATTCTCAATAATGGGCAGTGATACTTACACCTGATCCTTTTTCTCATACCTGGTGACATATCTCATGAACAATGACCATGGTGACATCCAGCAAATAAGAAATAGATGACACACTGGGATCCAGCAGTATTCTCTGTTCCACAAAAATACTGAGTCCCCAGTTCTCCATAGCAGCATACGGATGCTTAGGCACAGCTAAAAGATCTAGAAATAGAATAAAACAATTCCAAAGGCTTTAACAAATATACCAGATTCTAAAAAAGAGTCAAGAAATCCTAATTAGAAGGAATACTTGCTCTTTCTTAGGAATGTTTCCCCCGAAATTAAACTACCTGCCATTTCTACATGACAGCAGAAATATAGGCTATCACTGTCCACACAGGCCACGTCCATTCATCACAGTTCATTTTCAGACCCAATGCAGTCAGAGGCTGGAAGTATCAGCACCATTATTGATGGGCCCATCCTGATAAGTTTCAAAGAGTCAAGGAAACCAAATGCAGCAGGAGTCCACAGAGTCAGAAGACATAGTGCCTTTGAGTGAAAGTATATTCAGTTCAATGCGGTGAGTACAGTACTCTTATTTTTACCTTGATGTTTTTAAAAAGAAAACATGTTCTATCAGGTTAAAAATGCAGTCATTTCTCTAAATTCTTAAATTCTAATTTATTTTTTGAGTTCCATTAAGAATAAAAAAAATGTTACGTGCAAATATAGAGAAAACTATGATAGTGAAGATAGTGGCAAAAGGACAGTTGAAGGAACATGCGAGCTTTGGTTCTGGTCCTGCCTCCACCATTAACTAGAGATAAGACATTGGGAAAGTACTTACTTTCCTGAGACCACACTTCCTTCACCTATAAAATGAGGTTATTGGCTTTCATTATCTTGAAAATCCCTTCCAACTCCAAAAATCTATGATGAGGTGATTCTAAGATTTGTGCTTATTTTAAAAGGTTATGGAGGTATTATAAACTTCTGTTAGGGTGACAATAAGTTCATGTTTTGATATATTCCCTCCACTCCAAACACATAGTGATGGTAAATAAAATATTAAAAAGGAAAACTAAAAAATATATGCAGGCTTGAAAATGAACCTCTCCATGGACCAGAAATGGTGCAAAAATGCAAATAGTGATTGGGTGGGAAGCCCTATGCCTGCTGTGTTCTGGCTCTGAGAGTAGGCAGTGGCAGCTGGGACTTGGTTCCAGCAGGATGTGCCTCAGCCAAAGAGACTTAAGCCCAGTGCTTGATGCCGGGGTTGAGGTAGGGCATGCATGCTCATGCGAAGAGCTGCAAATGGCTGGTGCTGACTGTTTCCTGTGGAAGGTAGCAAGTGGAAGAACAGGGATTCAAACCCAGGCAGTCTGGCTCAGTGCCTTGCTCTTAATCACAATGACATAACATTTATTGTTTCTGGCCCAGAAGTTACACTTCCTAATATAAACAAACCCTGGTGTAACTCCCTAGAATGCCAAGGGGAAAAAAATGGTACAAAAATGTTACTGCACTATTTCTGTAAGAGTGAAAATGGAAAACTAAATGCCATTCATGAAGATAAGGAGCAAGGGAACTGTGAAATAGATATAGTATAAAGGAATGCTATACAGCAACTGACATGAATGATCACGCCAACAGAGGCTAACACTATGTGTATGAACATGGATAATCTGAAAACCATAATGTTGAGGGAATAATTAAGATATAAAATGACCCTTACCATATAGTACTTTAAAACAAGTAGAATAATACCATGTACTGATATTGCCGGTGAATACTCACACATGCACACAAATACCAAGACAGATGGCAATGGTATATTGCACATACAATCACACATATTCTAATGATAAATACCAAATTCAGAATCATGATTGCTTCATGGAAGACAGAAGGAAAAAGAGATGAGAGACTATCTTTTAGGTTCCTGAACGCAATTTCAACTTGGAAGCTGGGAAGGGGTTGAACACATCACCAACAAACAATTCCTGGGCGCCAGCTGAGTGTCTGAGAATTCAACTCAATTTTGACACCATCTACCTATCTACCTGAGGACAGACTCAGATTCCACAGGTTAAGGGCTTAGTCCTACAAGACTTCCCCACAGCATACACCCAGGTTTACCTGTACTTCTGACAGATGCTATACATCAGAGGCTCCTAATGATACCATTCTTATTAACTAGTTATTAATAATAGAAAAGGAGCAAAGGGAAGACATTACACTGGGGGAGAGAACCACATAGAGAAGAGAGACACATGCCCAGTAAAGTTGAGATGACATAGAGAAAGTACTTGCTTGTCCATCATACCTGGAGCAGAGGTGGTGGCCAGAGTGGGTGTGGCCACTGCAAGCCTGTGGAAATTTGGGATATCTAATCTCCTCAACAAAGAAGCTCTGTCTCTCTTATGCTCTTGGTTCCTCTTGACGTGCTTGGCTCTTAGCTCACACGTGGCCTTCTGGCATTCTCCCATGTGGCCCACGGCCATGTGGACCCACGCACAATGGACTGATGGACGGCACTAGCCTGATGCTGAACTGGACCTGGCTCCAACATGTAAAGGAAATGCTGGACACTGGCTTTGCTTCCAGCTCTACTGAAACCCCAGCTACACTTCTTCTATGACTGGACTAAGGGAATTGGGACTTTGGAAACTCAGGGATGTAAATTCACAAAAATCAAGCCTTCTACCACATCCATCCTCCTGTAGGAGCCTCTGGAAATGCTTACTCCAGCGGTACCCCGAGAACCCCACTCTCACGAGCAACTGGGAAAGATGAGGCATGTTTTTCTCTGCTAATACTATGACCTCCTCTCAGGTTTGATTAGTTTGCTAGAGTGGCTCACAGGATTCAGAGAAACATTTAACTCACTGGATCACCAGTTTATTATAAAAGGATATAACTCAGGAAGAGCCAGATAGAGGAGAGGAATAGGGCAAGGCATGAGGAAAGGTACAAAGCTTCCATACCCTCTGCAAGTCCACCCTCCCCAAATCTCCAGGTGTTTACCCACCCAGAATCTCTCTGAACTTTGTCTTTTTTTTTTTTTTATGGAGGCTTCATTACATAGGCATGATTGGCTACATCATTGGCCATTGATATTTTCAGCCCCTCTCTCCTCCCAGGAAGTCAGGGGGTGGGACTGAAAGTTCCAACCCCCCCAATCAAAGGGTTGGCTCCCCTGGCAACCAGCCCCATCCATAGGTGAATTCAAAAAGTCACATCATTAACATAAGACAACTTTATTGCTGTAATTGATTAGAAAATTTCAAGGAACAATGAAGGAATTAAATATGTGAAATACATATTTGGTCATCTATATATTTCTTATGAGTCACAATATCACACACAAGGGATATCAAATGTGTCTTCAATATTACTTTTTTAAAGCAGGTGATGGGTACATGAGTATTTTTATACAATTATTATTAATTCTTTTATGTATGCCTTAAATATTTCATAACAAGAAAAAGAATAAAATTATGAACAGTCTTACAACATGGTTGATTTTATTTATGACTTCAACAAACATTTTCTCAGTATTTTCTGTGTCCTTAAGTCTGAAATGTATATTAAACTAAGTCAGGGATGGTCCCTATATACTGGACATTTTGAATAAAGAATGAGAACTTGACAGCTTAGCACAAGAAATAAAAAAAAAAGAATAAAAAGTTCTGCGAAAGAGAAAGAAAACAAATCTGGTTGGAGAGGTTCTTGAAAGAGATAATATTTGAGTTGGATTTGAAAATATAAGATTTCAACAGGTAGACAGAGGCACTGTATGTATTTATTTATACAAGTATATATTGAGCATCTCTTTTGCTCAATATAACCATTGTTCTCTACTTCAAGCTACTTGTCCCATTCTCTCATGACACTCATATTCATGGGGGGGGGGGGGATGTATAGGACAAGGAGGTCCATTAACAAGTAATAAATGAGTGAAAGAAATTTAGTAAATGATAAATGCTACAAAGAAAATGTAATAAAGTAAGACAACAATTGACAGGTTGGGCAAGGTGGGTACAGCATGGTCAAGAAAGGGAATTACATTTCATCAGAGATGTGACTCATGGTAGAAGCCAGAAATCTGTGGAAGTGTGGTCTAGGAGGGGGCAGCAAATGCAAGGGCCCTAAGGTGGAAATGAGACAAGCAGAAAGAAGGTCACGGTGGCTGATGCATATGATGGAGAAGAACGTAGGTCTGAGGATTAGTACAAATTGCAAGTGCACAGCAGACATTCTTCCACAAGATTTTAAGTGGAAATCTTCCCTAAATATGAACAAACTAGGTGACAGAACAACATTGTGTCAACTCTGCCGGCCACCAGCAGATGGCAACAACAGTAGCATATCTGGTGTCATTTCCTTGCAGGAACTTGTGAATTTGGGAACAATCCTTTAGAGCCAAGCCTGTTGCAGGACAGAGGCACCTCTGTGTGCTGGAGTTCTCAGAGCCGAGAGTAGTCAGGTCCCAAGACTACGTGAGCCAATCGGGCCACACACTGGGATTTGGACTGGCTCAAATGGCACAAAGAGAAGACTCCAGACATGGGCCAGATGCAGAGTCTGGGAGTTTGGGATAAAGAGGAAAGTACGCTTAGGGAGCAGTCATCAGACAGCAAAAGCCTGACCAGCAGCATATAAGCAAGGTGGGGGGAGGGGCCAGTTGAAGGTTGGTGCCAAAAATATCAGGCAGTGCTGACCTAAGCAGGCAGCTGGCTTCCAGAGGTCTGAGGACATGGAAGTCAGGCGTGGGTAACACGACAAGAACTCCTGAGCAAATAGTTCTATTCAGATGAAGCAATTGAGGGGGAGTTGAAGGACTGGGTGAAAAAGGTGAAGGGATTAAAAAGTACAAATTAGTAGTTACAAAATAGTCACGGGGATGTAAAGAACACCATAGGAACACCATAGTCAATAGTGTTGTGATGACTAAGTATGGGGCCTGGGGATACAGGGGAATCACTTTGTAAAGTATATGATTGTCTAACCACTCAGCTTTTCACCTGAAACTAATATAAAATCATATTTAATGTAAACTGTAATTGAATAAAAGGAAAGATAAAGAGTTTGAGAACAGAGTAAAACACAAAGAGCTCAGTAGTAGGAGGCAGCGTCTCAGGCACAGACAAGCATTAAAGTTGGTACATGGAACATGGCAGTGGGGGGAGAGGGTGGAACTAAAAACATTAGATTAT